GATCGAAGATACCGCAATAGTTTGGCATACCATGTCGATGAGCGTCAAATCTTAACCAAAATGCTTAGAGCAATGTTGAAGACGACATAAACTATATCTGCCTGAGCAGCGGCCTGATTTTGCTACGATCTACACAGCAGGCCGCATGGTTTTGTGTGGAAATAAGGGGAGAAAGAAGAATGGAAAAGGAGAGAAGAGGAATGAACGAGGTCGTATCAGGACTCCTCCGCGTTCGACAGCTCTTCTGCTACTGCTTCGCCTTCCGTTTGATGTACTCCTTAGAATGTCATGGTCCATGGAACGGAAGTCGGGAAGGCTGATTCACAGCAGATATCCCTGTGTTCATTGAGGAGAAGAAGGATAAGAGATCTTCCTCGAGATCCACGGCAATTACGATCCCTCCTCATATCGAGAGCGAGAGAGAGAGAGAGAGAGAGCAGGGAAGTAGACAGAGAAAAGAGATAATCACCTTCTCCCTCGCTAGCGCCGCGTACTGTCCCCGGCGCCTCACCTCGCCGCAGTAACTCACCAATCCCAGAAACTGCATCCCCTCCATATGCTCTCTCTCTCTCTCTCTCTCTCTCTCTCTCTTTACCGCTATGAGTCGATCAAGGACTAGCCATCACCCGGGCTGTGTTTATAGGCTCCCGCCAGACCGAGAAGAGAGCTTCCATAATTTCCCAGATTGCCCTCAATAATAACAATAAATGGAGGACATAAATGGAATTTCATCTTTACAACGCCCGGAAACCGCGGGAAGAATTCAAATAAAATATAACAAACTTTTCTTCTTTTTTAAATGGATCAAAAATGTAATTACGTAAATTAGAAAATTGTAACAGTGTGAAATGACTCAGTCAGTCCACGTGGCCCCCATTTATCTCCCATCATGTTTGACCATCTCTGGCATTCCTCTCTCTCTCTCTCTCTCTTCAACCGACCTAATCTGTGAGACACTTTTTTATTAGTATTATAAAATCAAACAAGAGTAATTATTCACATATAATGCATTTAAAAATGGCAAATAATGTGCTGTTCTCGGGCTGGATAGAAGCAACCGTAGACTCTGGAAACTTACCATGCAGGGCTTATAATCATACCGGCCCCGCGACCTCCCTATACACTCCAGCCGAATCAGATCCTGGATGGAGATGGACATCAATGTCCCTGCGAACGATTGAGAGAGAGAGAGAGAGAGTAAGAGAGGGACAAAGATATAGATAGACACTGCGAGAGAGAGAGATAGGGATACCTCCGAAAGCAGAGAGAAATGCAGTGGACAATCCCATGATTCACCTTCGCCGCCGCAATGTCACCTCCGCAGGCCCCCTCGTCGTCATCCTCCTCGACGGTGGCGAGCGACGGCCGCCATCGGAGTAGCGCCTTTAGACGCCGCATATCTTCCGCCTCCTCCTCCGCCGCCGTCGCCGCTTCCTTGCCTCCTCCCCCTTCTTCTACGGTTCTCTTCTCTTCTCCGCTCTTCCAGCCGCAGCGGATGAATCTCAGGAACCCCATCTTCAAACACCTCTCTCTCTCTCTCTATCTCGCTGGGTTTTTGGTTTCTCTGCCAGGAATCGCCGGCGGAGGGTTGAGTCTGAGATTTATAGGCTCGTCCAGGCGTAGTTGCTCATACGCTAAAAAACCAACATTACCCTTTTCTGATAAACCAGTGTATAAGAGTATGTTAGGTATTTATTTATTGGGCCTGGGCGTCAAAATTGGCCGCCCAAAATACACGTCCTGGAAGTTGAGAATGGCTTTAGTGAGCCTCCGTTCCGGCTTCTCGTCTTCTACTCGGCCCAATAACGAGATCCATGACCTCTCTGATACGGTACACAGGTGTCTAAGTGGACCACGTTTCCTTATCCGTGTGGCCCAATAAGAGTTGCTATAGAGTCTCCGAACTGTCCTAAATTGGGTGGAGACGGAAGTCTTTGCACGCCTGAGTGATCCCTTCACGGCTCAGAAAGATCCTCCGTCTCCTACTTTCCTACCTCTGTGGAGATCCATGAGTAATCTTCCTCTCTCTTCTCTCTCTATCTCTCTCTCTCTCTCTCTCTCTCTCTCTCTCTCTCTCTCTCTCTCTCTCTCTCTCTCTCTCTCTCTCTCTCTCTCTCTCTCTCTCTCTCTCTCTCTCTCTCTCTCTCTCTCTCTCTCTCTCTCTCTCTCTCCCTCCCTCTCTCTCTCTGCCCTCTCTCTCTCTACCTCTCCCTCTCCCTCTCTCTCTCGCTCTCTCTCTCTACCTCTCCCTCTCTCTCTCGCTCTCCCTCTCTCTCTGTCGCTCTCTCTGTCTCTCTCTCTCTCGCTCTCCCTCTCTCTCTCTGTCGCTCTCTCTCTCTCTCCCTCTCTCATCAATCTCTCTCTCTCTCTCTCTCTCTAACTCTCCCTCTCTCATCAATCTCTCTCGACCTCTCGCTCTCTATCTCTCTCTCCACCCCTCTCGCCTCTCTTTCTCTCTATGTACCTATCTCTCCCTCCTCTCTCTCTCTCCCCACCCCCCCCCGCGGTATCGGCAACAGTCGCCAACCCCATTTCACTCTATGTTGTTATCCAAGGGCCCACTTGTGCAAGGCCCAATAAGAATGTCTCAGTTTATAAATATAAAAATGAAACTATATTCCTTGGAACATTTAATCGTAGAATTGTTTAGTCCCTGACTTCAGCTCTTGTAACTATTGAAGAGCAGTTTTTTATTTTTTATTTTTTAAACAAGGTGGCCTTTTATTATAAAATAATATGATTATTTAATTGGTAATGATAAAAGTAAAATGTTACATTTACACTAGTACCATATTGTCAAGAAAAATATACTCAGAATACATATATCAGTAAATCTATGAATATAGTTAGAGAAAAGGAAAAGATGCTCGATTAAAGTTCCGGGCCCGCCTGGACACCCGCGTGGGCACATTTTTCTCTCTTTCTAACTCTATGATAAGTAGCCCGATTATAGAGTTTTATTCAAACAAGGTTCAAATGATAAGCCCGGCCCGGGGCGGCCCGGTGTATTAGACTCTGCACTGCCAAACTGATCCTGTCTATCTTCCACTGATAGGCCTTGTGAACATACGCTGTACAAGAAAGAGGAGAGAAGGAGAAGAAGAAGAAGAGAAAAGAAGGACTCGGATCAGTCCTCGTCGGAGGCGGCAGCTCAGAAGATGAAGGGCGACGGGGTGAAACTCAGCGTCAGGGCCTGACTGTGGAAATCCCTGCCATCAGATCAGATTTCGGTTTAGAGACAGAGAGAGAGAGAGAGAGACAGATAGACAGACGGACAGAGAGAGAGAATGAGGAAGAGGAAGAGAGGAAGGGCGAGGCGGAGGGAGGGAGGGATGGGGGCAGAGGGAGAGGAGGGAGGGAGAGAGAGAAAGCCAGAGAGACTGGGAGGGGAGATGGAGGGACAGAGAGAGAGGGAGGGAGATGGAGAGTCAGAAAGAGGGAGAGCGAGAGAGAGAGAGGGACGGAGAGGGAGGGAGAGGGAGAGAGAGCCAGAGAGACAGAGAGACGATACAGGGGACAAAGAGAGAGAGAGAGGGAGAGGGAGACGGAGAGAGAGGGAGAGAGAGCCAGAGAGCCAGAGAGCCAGAGAGACAGAGAGACGAGACGGGGGGACAAAAAGAGAGAGAGAGGAGGGAGAGAGAGAGAGAGAGGGGAGAGAGATGATCAGTGGGAGAGAGAGAGAGTCAGAGGGAGTCAGAGAGAGAGAGAGAGAGAGAGAGAGAGAGAGAGAGAGATTGGTGTTACCTCCCGGTCCAGAGGCGAGATTTGGCCACAGCCACGGCGAAGTAGGCTGCTCCCCGGGGCGTCTTCAGCTTCACCACCGAAGGCCCCGATCGAGCCCTGCTTCCCTGGCCCCCCTCTCCCTCCCCGAAGACCCCCTCCTCTGCGATCGCGCTCAGCGACGGCCGCCACCGCCGCCCCGCCGCCCCACTCGCTCCCCCTCCTCGGGGAAGCTTTCTCACCGCCGCCGCCGCCTGCTTCCTCCCCAGCGCCGCCCCATTCGTGCTCAACTCCACATTCCCCATCTCCCCCCTCTCTCTCCTCTTTCTTACTCCTCTCTCTATCTCTCTATCTCTCCCGTTCTCTCTCCACGGCGGAGAGTTTGAGAGTTTATTCCACGCTTCCGCCGCCGCCGCCGCCGCCGCCGCCGCCGCCGCTGCTGCCGCCGACTACTACCCGGAGAGCTGATCCGCGGCGGCCTCTGGTTTCTCTGGACCTATTAAATAACCTTTAAGGGTATTTTGGTAAATTAGATACCCGGTCTGGAGGTAAAGGATAGGCATGGGGGTGGGCCTGACCGATCGCTTCTCCCGTGGGGTCTAGGAAGGTGGGAGCGACGCCCACTCCGAGGTCTACATCTGGCGCATTGACGACGCCTAGTGGGCCCCAGGGAGTGGGCAAACAACGCTCTGGGTTGGTTAGAGTGGACGTCTTTTGTATGGGCCCACCGGACAAATGGGTCGCTACTTGTTTGGTCAATTTCTTCGAATTTTGAAAAATGAGGAGACCCATTAAGAGGATGCTTTATGAGCCGGCATGCCCTGAGCTCCTGAGCTGGTCCGCCGGATCACAGTCCGGGAAGTGGTAAAATCGTAATTTCGTGAACTTAATCCACTGCGTTGACAATTTGGTAGGCTCGTGGAATCTCCAAACGTACCTACTACGCGAGAGGATTGATGTGCCCTCATGTGGGCCCCAACCATATATTATTCCTTGACCCCTAGGAAATCAGTATTCTCATATATATCTTGTGGGGAAATACACGTCAGCATTACTGGACCCATTAAGAGGAAACTGTTAATGGGCCAGCATGCTCTGAGCCCGCCCTCCGGGTTAGTGAACCGGACGTGGTGAAATCGTAATTTTCGTGGACGCTACTGGTGAAGAAAGTCCATCGGCAGGTGCCATTAAAGGCCTCCTCCTCGTTCCACCTCCTCTGAGCGGCGGCAGGAGCGTCTCCAAAACCCTAGCCTCGCGGCTGGACTCGACCTTCAGGAGCGATGGGGAGGGTCATCCGAGCGCAGAGGAAGGGTGCCGGCTCCGTGTTCAAGTCCCACACTCATCACCGGAAGGGGCCGGCGAGGTTCCGATCGCTCGACTTCGGCGAGCGCAATGGATACCTAAAGGGCGTGGTCACAGATATTATCCATGACCCCGGCCGTGGCGCGCCACTAGCACGCGTCACCTTCCGCCATCCCTTCCGCTACAAGCAACAGAAGGAGCTCTTCGTTGCGGCGGAGGGAATGTACACCGGCCAGTTCGTGTTCTGCGGGAAGAAGGCCAACCTAATGGTTGGCAACGTTCTCCCGCTCCGATCCATCCCGGAAGGAGCAGTAGTGTGCAACGTTGAGCACTACGTCGGCGACCGTGGTGTCTTCGCCCGGTGCTCGGGGGACTATGCTATTGTCATCAGCCACAACCCTGATAACGGTACCAGCAGGTATTCACTACTCTTAAACGACAAGATATTTTGATCTCTCTTTCTAGTTCGATGGATCTGATATTGATGTCCGCAGATCTGCTCTAGAAATCTGTTGTTCTCCTTGGTTTCAGTTTTCCCTTTAGTTTTCATGTGCTTTATGGTGTTCAATGATGTATAATCTAGATTTTTTATCGAGGTGAACTTTGTGAGATTTGATGTTTTCTGTATGACTCTCTCTTTGATTGATGATTGAAACGCTGTATGCAGAATTTAGGCTGTTTGATCAGATTCTCATTTCCAAAACCCTTTTTTTGGATTTAGAATTTCCCAGTTTCTGATATCATTTGTCATTTGATTGGGCTTTTCATCAAATTGAACGAATTTGATTCAATGTTAAGAAACCATTCGTCCATTCAACGTGAATTAATACTTGTGCTTGTTTTCTTATGCCCATGAAGAAAAGGGCTATGATTCCCGTCGGAATGAGAATTTCGAATGATGATATATTATTCTGAAAACAATCCGGTTACCTAGTCGGATCAATTACTTCGCACATTACTCCTGTTTGATTTAGCTTGTGGTGCTCATTTGAATTTCAAGTGTAGTTGCTAGTTTTCCTATTGTATTGGATAAACTCAGAATCTATGAAATCTATGTTAAAAGTACGGAAGAAGTAACATTCTGAAGCCTCTGAACGTGTGAACATGAAAAATGGATTCAGTGGAGCTTTTTTTCCATAGTTATTAACGAAGTTTGTCACAGTGCTTGCTGGTGCATCGTTTGTGAACGAAGTAGACCACTTTCTTGAAGAGCTGTTCAAATTGTTTACCTATCTTTTCACCTGACAACACATACTGCTGAGTACTTAAGCGAATAGCACAAGATTGAGAATTTATTCAACTCCCTGATGGTTAATTTTTATTTGCATTTGGAATATAGGTTGTAGCATATCTTCGAAAAGATGAAGATTTAAAATTTTTTGATTCCTCGTTGGTTGATTAATTCAACTCTAATATGAAGAAAGTTTGCTCGCACAACTCTAATATCCTGTGTACAAATTGTGTTTTTTTGACCCAGAAGCAGAAGTATGTTGAATTTTGTGCAGCGATATGGCCCATTTATAAGTTATAAGAACAAGCTATGGGAGAATGGTGGTGGCCTTTAACAAACGTTTCATTGAACTCTCTAATCTATTGTGATCTGTTCTTGGTTGAAAAAATATTAGTAAGGTTCTTGGAAAGAACGAGGAATGCACCAGCGGAAATGAGAAAGTTGGACAGAATCCGATCGGGATAGGATGAGGTTGACTGAACCGAAACCATCCTCTACACAACCGATTGGCTGTGTAGAGAACACAACCAAATCGGGTTGGAGACAGCTTAGAACTGGGTTGATAGAATCTCCATCTCAATTCATGACATTTTTTGTATCGTTGATCTTAATCCTAGACACCCATTTAAACAGTTTTTAATTTACAATCGAACGTAAGTGTTCGTAAATTTTAATTTCTATCAAGAACAAAGCCAATAACTGGTTTCATGGAATCTCATTGCGGATCAGCGGACCCTCCCCACCTTTTGAATTGTCTTTGTTGTTCGTGACGTTTTTGGCCGATTTTACTCCCTACCAGGATCAAGCTTCCATCAGGGGCCAAGAAGATTGTGCCAAGCGGCTGCCGGGCCATGATCGGGCAGGTGGCTGGTGGGGGTCGGACTGAGAAGCCCATGCTCAAGGCCGGGAATGCCTTCCACAAATACAGGGTGAAGAGGAACTGCTGGCCAAAGGTGCGGGGTGTGGCCATGAATCCTGTGGAGCATCCCCACGGTGGAGGCAACCACCAGCACATCGGCCATGCCAGCACTGTCCGCCGTGATGCTCCCCCTGGGCAGAAGGTTGGGCTCATTGCTGCTCGGAGGACTGGGCGGCTCAGGGGCCAGGCCGCTGCCACTGCAGCCAAAGCCGATAAGGGCTCTTAGATTGTTGGTATTTTTTGCTTGCCCACGGAGGGCTTTCTCTTGGTTTATTCTTACTGCCAGACTTATGATGATAGGATTTTTGGTCGGATATTGGTTGTATTGGGTTCTTACTATCCAGATTATCTTTGTTTTGATTTGATATTTTTAGTCTTTGCATCCACCAGCTTAAAGAGAGAGAGAGAGAGAGAGAGAGAATATTTACTATTTTACGAAAATAGTGATATAATGTTGTTTGAATATTGGAAAATTTGGTAACTATCTAGATTATCTTTCTATATATAGGAAGTCAACTCGTGATTTCTATCTTCTACATGGTGAAAAATATTAGAAAGGAATATGTTATAGTTTCATAACATCAAAGATACTTTCTTCATTCTCATGCTAGAAGTGAATCAGCTCACTTGGAGTGACAAATGACCAAGTACGAATGAGTTGACCCACTTATTAAGAAGTGAGTCAAACCGTCTAATATTTTTCTGATAATTATAACTATTCTTTTAAAAATGACTCCATCTTTTTCTCCACAAGAATAGAGAAAAAGAATAAAATAAAGAAAATGGCAAAAATCATTTTAAGAAAAACAACTATACATGACAAACTAAGAAAAATGATAACAAATCAATGTCCTTAACCATACAAATATATCTATATATATATATATATACATTCAAGCACACCCTATATGACCGTACACCACTTATGGCAATGAACAATGAAGATCAATATTATTGTATTTCAACATTAGCAGAAGGCTTTACCCAAGTGTGGAGCTAGTCAGGAAGATTGGCCATTCATGAAATTGTTCATGTCTTCTAGCTAATGCAATGAAAACTATACACTAGATGGGGGCTCAATAGGGCCTATGTAATGCTTCCTCAGGTGATATGATATGATACCTGGATCATGGAAGCTTCTTGTGCATTCTTTGGACCATGGCATAAGTATGTGTACTAGGACAAAAAGATTTGCAGAAACATCTAATGAACCTCATAGGCCAATGAAAGAGTAAAGAGAGCTAACCTCATCTCTCTATCTCTCTCTCTCTCTCTCTCTCTATCTCTTATCCATGTATAGAAATACAATTGACATAGCCATAGGTTGTTTCCACATGGGTTAAATAATGACCAAGGCTTTGAGTAAGAGGCTTTGGGGGCCTCCCCAAGGAAATTCATCTCAACTTCAAAGTGATTACTCTTAATTTTAGAGATAGAAAGGGAAACAAAGAGAGATAGAGTGAGAAATATATATATATATATTGAGAGAGAGAGAGATAGAGGCATCTTTACAAAACCCAGTATGTGATGATAGATAGTGAAACATTTAATCATTGACCAGCTATGGATGGACTTGAAATATTTTAATTTTAGAACAGAAATGGAACTTCAAAAAAAGTCAAAATCTACCTGTCAGCAACTCTCAAGCAAAACAGTTGTAGAATTATTCTCTTCATTTTTGTCTCTATTAAAAACACAATTTGATTGATTCTTGGGAAAATATTGTTGAAGCCTTGTCTTGTCATTCCCTTTGACTTACTCAGATCCTTGTGGAATGGTCGCTTATGATTTCAAGATTTATCAATCTCTGTCAGATAAATCTACTAAATAAGTTGAGGAAAATTAAAATTATAACTTCACAAGAATAGAAGGAAATTATAATTATAATTCACAAGGAAAATTGAGGACATTTGTCACCCATTTAGGGAAAAACATTTGATTTTTTTCTAATTGGAAGACCATACTTCCCTAAGAGTTAAAAAATTCTAATTCACTTGTGAATTTTGTCTTTGAAATTTTAATTTGTATTCCTCGAAACACACTCACAAAGAGGAGGAGGAGATAGAGAGAGAGAGGGCTAGAAAATAGGTGGGAATATAATAAACGGCATCTGGACCAGTTTAGTCGTTTCACACTATTTCTGTTTTCTAATTTACATAATTACATTTTGATCCATTTAAAAAGAAGAAAAGTTCGTTATATTTTATTTGAATTCTTCCCGCGCTTTCCCGGGTTTTGAAAAGATAGATTTCCATTTCTGTCCTCCATATATTGTTACGATCGGGGGCAATCTGGGAAATTAGGAAGACCCCTCTCGATCTGGCGGGAGCTATATAACCACAGACCGGTAGATGGCCAGTCCTTCATCGGTTCAGAGAGAGAAAAGAGAGAGAGAGAATAGAGGGGATGCACTTTCTGGGATTGGTGAGTCTCGGCGGCAAGGTGAGGTGGCGGAAACGGTGCGCAGTGCTGGCAAGGGAGGAGGAGATGGCCGCCTTGCCCAGACATCCGAGTACCAGGAGCGGCGCCGCGAGCGCGAGGAAATTTCGGCGGCCGCGCAGGGCGGAGCCACACTGGCGACCGGTGCTCGATCCGATACCGGAGGAGGAGGTCTTCCCCGGGGAAGACGAGGTGGCGCATCCGACTGTTGCCGCTGTGAAGAGGAAGAAGCCTGGGAGATCCGTCTTCTTGGCGGCCGCAATGGCAGTGCTGCGCTCCGGGTTCAGAAGGTGATCATCTCTTCTCGCTCTCTATTTTCCTCCTCTCTCTCTCTCACACACACACACTCGATATGAGGAAGGATCGTGATTTCCGTGGATCTCGAGGACGTTCTCTTATCCTTCTTCTCCGCAACCAACACAGGGATATCGGCGGTGAATCAGCCTTCCCGACTTCCGTCCCATGGACCATGACATTCTAAGGAGTACATCAAATGGAAGGCGAAGCAGTAGCAGAAGAGCTGTCGAACGGCGAGGAGTCCTGATCCGACCTCCTCCATTCTTCTTCTCCTTTTCCATCCCCCTTATTTCCACACAAAACCATGCGGCCTTCTGTATAGATCGTAGCAAAATCAGGCCCCTGCTCAGGCAGATATAGTCTATGTCGTCTTCAACATTCCTCTGACAAGTTTGGTTAAGATCTGACGTTCATTGGCATGGTATGTCAAACTATTGCACTATCTTCGATCTGGTGAAGTATTAATTTGAAAATTGGTCTGCGTCTTTGTAGAAATGTAATGAGACAATAAAATAATATGATGACTTCTCATTCAATATGTAACTAATTGACCTCAAATAAATCATGAGTGCCACATGGACATGAGATGATGATACTAGGAGGAATAATAAATATCTTAGTGACCTATAACACAATAATATTTTTACTATCATTTTCAATATTTCAAGTTTTGTGAGCAAATTAATTTAATTTTCATGCAATGCATAAATTTGATATCAAGAATGATCTAAATGAATAATTTAATATTATTCACAGCTACTATATCAAGAAGCTTTCATACTCATATTTTATCTCTAATATATTCTCATAAATATTTATAGGCCAATAATTACCTTCTATTTATGTTAGTTTATCTGAATATTAATCATGCTGAAAATCATATAAAGTAATAAAATTAATAAAAAAGATAAAAAAACTTAGAATGATATATTATGTACATCCAATTACATTCTTTTTGATATGTAAGGTCATTACTTCTTTTTTAAATAAATTTTCTTCATAATCATTTTATAAAGATGAATAAGTTTAATATATTCCATCGAATCTTAAGTGCATTTCTCATGATCAAAATATTATTCCTTGAATACTCCAATAGTCTGCCATTGTCCAGTGATGAAAAAATTGTTGGATTGTCAGTTGCTCTTAGATCATCAAAGGGTTGGATCAGTCAAATATTAGCTGCTTGATCTAGTTGAACTATTTGTAAGATCTTTCTTCTCTTTGAATTTGATCCTTATCTCAATACTTTAAGGATTATTAATGTAAAATTTTTCAATATTTTTGAAGTAGTTTTATCTTCTTTCTACATTCATACTTCTAGAGTACCCCTTTTCTAGGGTTTCTTTGTATTAATCATTCAACACATACTACTAGCTAATTATGGGGATCAGTTCATGTAGAACTTTTACTCTTTAGAACTACTTACATTGTATATTTCATTGTTGTTGTTTAGATCTGATCGATGAAGATTGAATGTGGCTCAAATTTGGTTCCTCAACTCGTTGCCTCCTTATCATTTTATTGGTTGATAAGACTACTTAAATCTATATTGAATCATTTACATAAGTTATCAATAAGGCTACTTAAATGATTGTTGGGAAGATGTGATCATTCATAAATTATTATCCATTGAGGAGCTGCTGAATTTGTAGATAAATCTCATCCAAAAACCTCTACTATTATCTACTGTCTCTCAATGAATAAATTAGAAAATTAGTTAACAATTTGAATAACTGGAAACTAATGTTGCATGATCTTTAGGGATTCGGATTTCTTTGTGAAAAATCAATCCTAGAATATCAGGTATATATCCAAAGCTTATCAGTTTGATCTAATTTGATAATGTTCAATTTTCATGAAATAATATATCTAAGAAGGTAGTGATTACGAACATCTAATCCAAAATATTTTGCAACAAGTTGGGATCCCTACGTAGACAAATTAATCATAATCTCATATATAAAATATAACTTTGATGATCTTGAATACTTCAAATAAATTTAAAATAATATTTTCTAATGTTATTTTCCATAAGGTATCTTGTACACTAGTTATCCTAATCCATATTTTAAAGAGTTTAACATTACAAACTTTAATTACGTTCTATGAAGACATGTTTTGATAATTTTCATTAAAATTATTCCTTAATAGATCTTTATTAAATCATACTCATCTATAAAAACATCTTTACAAATAAATCAAGTTCATGAACCAGTAGGAAATTTAATTATTTAGTTAATCTTATATGTATTTTTTATTATCAAAATAATATTTATTAATATAAATTTTTTTAATAAGTCTTGAAACTAAGTTAATTAGGCTTTCATAAATCATTCGGATTTATAGTCACAAAATTTAAAACAATATCACATTTTAGAATTAATGAATATTATCAAATTCAAATCACCTTTATTTCTAATTTCATCAAATAGTAAAGATGAAAAACTAGTTTTCTAACTCAAGACATTTATAAAATGTGCTTCATATGCATATGAAATCCTAAGTCATTTTGAGTTTCATGAGAGGATTGAATAAAGCATGCATTTGAAGAATTGAATTTCTAAGATCACAATGCCTTTTCTTTGAATTCAAAGACAACATTAAAAATTCAAAAATAGCAAAGGTAAAAAACTCTTTTTCATGTTCATTCATTTCTATCCCATTTTCTATGATCCCCCTTTCATAATTTTTAAGCTCTCCAAGATGTCTACAGCTTCTTCATATGATAGGCCATCAATTATATTCTTAAGATTAAGCAGGAGTTGCTCCTTTACAATAAGTTAGAAAGTGGAAGATTCAGATGTATAGGTTGCCAAGAAAACTCATTTAAGAGTCTCAGGCAAAGTAGACACTAAGCTGTAACAAGGTGTAACGAATCAGCATTTTTGAGTAGGATGAAAGCTTAGTTGTGAGATTCAAGGCTATTTTTGAAAGATAAATAATTATGTACCATCAAGAATAATCAATGTTTTCTATATTGGGAACATTTTCAATTGTTTTATAATGGGGATGACCTAAATTTTACGTTTTTTTTTGGTGGAAATTCAGAAGCATGATCTTCACCATCAGAAGCAATTACTATAAAACGATTGGTGCAGATGTTCTACTGAGTGTAGTGTATCTAAATGTATCATTTGTATCTCTACGAGAACGAAAGTACTACTTCAAACTTAATAAATTCGTCATGATTTTAAGTAAGAATTATTGATGGATTAAATGTTGAAATATAATTACTTATTTTATATTCAAGATGCAAATATGGATAGATTGACTTTTGATTTGAAGACAGACTTTAAGGCAACTTTATGGATCGATATGGATAAATATGGATAAACATATGATCCAGTTTTCAAATAGTTACAATATGAAGGCAACTTTAAGGCAGCTTTTGACTCTTGGTAACAAAATAATAGGCAAGTTTTTAAGGCTCCATTTTACCTTGTGGGTATTGATTTGTCTGAACATAGTCATTTTATGGATCATATTTGATTTTAGGAGTTTTGTGCTTTTGAAAATTACAGCAATTGATTCGTAAGCCAAAGATAAAGGGTTTGGATCAAGCTTGACTGTTGGAGATGAGATCAGGGTTCAAAATTTGATCAAAACTATTTTTTATTGCTATCCCTATGTATTGGGGTCTAAACTATGTACGTTTGACTGATATGAAAATCGGATGAAGAAGAAATATCCGATTTTTAATCAATCAAAGTTACAATTTGGGAACCAAGCTTCATATTCTTAGCTTTGTTGGTATTTCCCATGTGTATGTCAACCATCACCCAATAGTGTTGCTTAAATTTATCAAACATTTACTTTAGTTCTCCTTTATTTTCCATTTTCTATGTTTCTAACTAGCATTAATAAATATTTATGCTGACTACCTTCACTCTAGAGAGAAGAAAACTAGAGTAAGGGTTACTCATAAGATATCAATAAATTTATGATACTAGCGCATACCATTCAATTACATTTTTAAAGTATTTTCAGTTGATGTCATCCAAACCATGGAAATAACTTTGATCAGAATAATTTTTTTAAGTTTCCTATGTGCTTTTCAGCACATCTAAATCTCTCCTCATAGACCTATAAATTCTTTTGTGCTTGGGATTAGTAAATATTGGCTTATTCATGTTTGATATCAAAAAATGATCATAAAGAAAAACCCTTCTTGAACGTAGATGTGTCTCAATTTTTACTAGATGTTTACTTTTTTTACTAATTAATTACACGAGTATTATCGCACTTCACTTAGGTTTGTATAAGTATATAATCTTTTAGTTATTATTTCACCTTAAGAAAGTGGGTGCAATAGAAATTGATAACTACACATTCAACTTTAACCATTGGCAAGGCAGTAATAATGTACCTTTTTCAAGACACGTGAAATTTTCTATTACTATTATTGAATTTTTATCTTGCTCACTACAGTGTTTTCTAAACTAGTTAACATTGAACATAACAAGGTTGCCATCATTCCTCTCTATATTCTATAATCCATTGATATTCTGTTAATTCCAAGATCATTTTTGATCTATGGGTGTTTTTTTTTTTTCTTTTACTTGAAAGACCATACTTCTTTAAGAGTTAACAAATTGTAAATAATTTATGAATATTGTGTCTTTTAATTTTTAATTTGTATTCCTAGAAAATATATGAATTCACCCATCACACTCTTAAATTTCTTTCCATGATCTCCAAAAACTTGTGACCCAGATTTCATAACAAGATCAATGCATCATCATTAAGTCCGGAACCCAAAACACACAATCACAAAGAGAGAGAGAGAGAGAGAGAGAGTATGAGGAGATGCAGTTTCTGGGATTGGTGAGTTACGGCGGCAAGGTGAGGCGCCGGAGACAGTGCGCGGTGCTGCCATTCTTCTTTTCCCCCTTATTTCCACCCAAAACCATGCGGCCTGCTGCACAGGTCGTAGCAAAATCAGGCCGCTGCTCAGGCAGAGATAGTTTATGTCGTCTTCAACATTCCTCTGACAAGTTTGGTTAAGATCTACGTTCATTGACATGGTATGCAAAATATTACAGTATCTTTGATCTGGTGAAGTATTCATTTGTCAATTGCTCCGCTTTTTCTTAATAATTAAGTCCCAGCAGGAAGATTAGTTTGGATGATACAGAAAGTTAAGTCTTTTTCTTATAAGCTGAATAGACGAACTTGTTCAAATAATTATTTTCATGCTTGGAAATACTTTATAAAGATGTTTATTTATGATGAAAATTACCTAATCCAACATCGAAATCTAGTTTGATCTGTTTTCAAAAATATGGTTTCAGGCCTTAAAAAACATGTAGATATCGAGTAATATTATAACAAATAAAAATAACCAGAAATAGGAGTTAAAGAACAAAAACTATCAGATGAAACCACCAGAAGACAGACAAGTGAGTCAACCCGTAGAGTCAGTGCATTGACCCATCAAAGGAAATAACGAGAACAACATTTGAAGAGACAAGTGGCATGTGGCAAACAACATGTTGAAGAAAATGGTCTCAAAAACAAAATATATAAGTGACA